GCCCCCCCCACCTCTCTCTCTCTCTCTCTCTCTCTCTCTCTCTCTCTCTCTCTCTCTCTCCGATGTTTCTTTTGTATTATTTTCTATACTTATGTGTCCTTTGAAAGCTGACCAGTGGGGCTTTTGAGATTTGAGATGTTATGACTGTCGTGTTTTGCTAGACTCCAATTAGGCCTTGTTCTATCCAACTTGGGTCTTCGAGTCAGTAAAACCTATACGCACTTCTGTTCGTTTATTGGTTCTCATAATACTATAATAGATGTAGTTGGTGGGTTGTTGGCGGATGCTCTGGTGTGGTTTGCTCCTTCTTTCCCATCAAACATATATCGCCCTTATCTCCCCTCTTTCTTTTTTATGTTTGTTATTCTCTTGTAACGCCTCTAATCTTCTGGCGATCATATGACTTTATGGAGTAGTGAGCGCCGTAAAATCTCTACTTACACTAAGAAGCAGCTGGGAGTTACTTAAGCCAAAGACATCCAAGAACGTATTATTAAATTACTCACGTTTCTGTCTTTTACGATGTTTTAGAATAGTGTGAGTGATAGTGAGAAATGCAGGCTTGTGTCCTGTGGTATAGTATCTATTCTATGATCGTGTATGCTTGTGTGGGACATTTTCTTCTGACGAACGACACAGTGTGATTTGGTCGCTTTTAAGCACAAGGGAGCTGTCCCGAAAAACGATGTTTGGAGAAAATCGAAGGTAAAGTTTCTTTATAAGACAAGGAGAGTTTTCTCTGTAACTAAACAATTATACACACCAGTGAAACCAAACTTCTCCTATAGGTAGGGGAAATCCTACTTTTGGTGTAGGTCAAGATTTCTTGAAACCCCTGTAATCTAGCTTAGCCCGCTTGTTTTTAAAAGCGACAATTTATATCTTGCACTAATTTCAACTGGGTTGGAATCTTTATTTCAATTGCAAGCCCTCTGATTTTGAGTCTTTTTTTCAACAACCATTTTCTTTTGGGTGGGGGGAGGGGGGTGGGAGGAGGGTGGATTCAAGAATGTCAGTCTGAGAACCAGCATCTTTTCTCACTGTATTCAGACGTGATACCAACTGAGATAACGACGCGATGTTTGGACCTTTTTTATTCCCCAAGGAAGGCGGATGGTTGGCTCTACTTTTTCATCACCGGGGTGTTATTTCTGTCTACCTTGCTTTTTCCCTCGCGGTTAATGAACGCTTTGGTGTCGATGTCGCTCTATTTGACTCGCAACTCACGCAGTAGGTAATAGGTCAAAAATCTTCCAAGGAGTCGGAAATGGGCTGCTACGACAGCTAGATGGGATCTCAGAACTGGTTTTCTCGAGTCTGGTTTCTAGATCTACGACAGGCACTGGGGAATAGTTGCCACAAATTGTAACTACAAGTGTGTGAGGATGTAGTTATCTCTCGAGAGAAAAGGAACACAGTGACCCAGTTTTTACCTTGATCGAGGAGTCAATAAAAACTCTAGTGCAAAAAGCAGGCTTTGCGATGGGAAGTAGGTGCGAGTGAGAGTACTTACAAATAATTACATGAGCCAGCGTGATGTTGCTTTTTTTTGTTGAAAAAACTGGGGGGGGGGGGGGGGGGAGAAATTACCAGTGCGCCAGGTAGTGGTTTTGGGAGGGTGATGGGAGTGTACGTCTACTTCCCTTCCTGTTTTGAGTACGTAACGACCTCCAATTATCATCTGTCATTTCTGTACGAATTGCAGCACTCGGCCACTCACTTGAGCGTTATTAAAACAGTAACAGTATCAAAGAGAACCAAGAGACGTAGTACTACCCAATACAGTAATATTTATTATCCTTTAGAAGGGATCAGTTCTTTTTGAGGTGTGCCAGTTCGATTATACAAAAGTGTAAAGAAAAAAACCACACGAAATATTAAAAAACCGAAGAAATGATAAAACGATGAATCCATCGTTTCTAACGTTAACGAAGAGGAAAATCCGCCATCTTAACTACGATTGCCTTTTAGAATTGGATGTGCAAATGAAGTTTTTTTTAATGGGTTTTTTTTGCCAACTCTGTCCTCAATGTAGGTTTCTAGAGCAAAAGCAAGGTTGGATAAAAAAAAAAAAACGAAGCAAGAATTCTAGCGAGAAATGTAAGATTCAAATGAATTATATGTAATAGAAGAGTTAGAGACTTTTTGATTCATAGGAAGCGTTTGATTGTACATTTCTAGTTACGTTGTTGAGTTCTACTGTTAGTTTTAGTAGGGGTTTTACGATAAGGACGAAAGATGTTTGATAGGGAAGAAGAAGCAAACCACACCAGAGCAACCGTCAACCACCCACGTTGTTGTTGAGTCCTGCCAATTTAGCATTTCAGCAGGAGAAAAGCTGTGTTTTGCCACTCTCAAAAGCTTGTTATACGAACATACACAGTTCATGGTATGAGGGCAAGATTCCAGTACTCGCATGGTCAGCGTAACAATTTGATGTTGATAATAGTATCATGACCGTAGCATATCGCCTGCCTGTCTATCTTGAATAAGATCTGTTTGGTTTGGGTAAATGTTTTACGGTCCTCGCAACCCACATAATAAAGCCAGACGAGAGTACGTGACAAAGGAAGTATAAACAGTTTGGTAGGAACTGATTTTGAATTTTGCCCTGGTGGTGCCGAAGCCTACTTTTATCGGTATTAGGAATATTAAGGAATCTTTAACGTGCGCAACTTACACACGAGACCTACGAGATTTTTCACCCTTGTCCAAGAAGGCTAGGTGAAGATCTTACTCACCCTAAGATCAGGGGTGTGGCTGAAAGACAGCAGGAAAAAGGAGGCAAGGAGCCAGGAGTAGAAGTAGTAAGTGCCAGGAGCCCTGAGGAAGGGAGGGGGGCAGAATTTGGAGCCCCAAAGCAGATTACAAAAAATTGTTCGAGAGCAGGAAAGAAGGAGGTGAACGGGGCAGGTTTTAGAGAAAAAAACTGTAATGTTTCTGTCGCGGAAAAAGAGTGGAACACGCAGGTCTAGAGCATGAGAGCCCTCCCTGAATAAGACCGAGATGAGAGTATTATGAGGGGAATCCTGTTGTCAGCTAAAGAAGATATTGCTGTTCGGCATCCTGGATGGTATTTTTTCGTCTGGGTTTTGGAGAAGCATGTTTTAGAATATAAGTTTATCCCTCAGGTTTTTTTTCTTGTGTTTTTTTTTGGAGGGGGGAAGGGGGGGGGTGGTTCTTTTCAACATGTGTTGCCAAAAGACAACTAAATAGCCTGGAAAAACATAATGATGTGGTTTGAAGCCTGACTATAATAATAATATACACGACTTGAGAATAAGAAAATAATTTTGTCTACAATTTTTATCTCAAAGCATGTTTGTTTTGTAAGGTTGAGAGAAGAGGAAAATCTGTCGGCACATTTTTAACCTCTGTGGTATTGGCAGGTAAAACGTGTTAGCCTGATGACAATAATGTATTTGTGCTGGTTCCAAGCCTTCACAAACGAGACAACGTTGCTAAACTGCTGAATTATTTGTCGTCTTTAC